GAGTAGCCGCACAGGAACACAGGGGCGTGGGGTGCGCGATGTTGTTGTCCATGAACAAGGTGCTCCCCTGTCTGCCGCGGTCGAAACGGATCTTAAAAATGAATGCATGAGGATGAGACGAACTCCTTGTTCGGCACGAGAGGTTGAGCAAGCAACCTTTTTTGTGTTGCGTCTGGGAAACTCGAAAGACGATGCCTAGTAGTGAGTCAGCGACTGGTCAGATGACAGTAACAGCATGGACAGGTACGCGGGTTGGACTCAAGCGTTCAACACCGCGTTCGGATAGCTCCAGCACAAGACTTGTACTCGGATATCACCACAGTACAAGCGCACTCGAACCAGCGTATCCAGGGTAGAACAGCATGTCAAAGACGGGTTCCGGCAGCGCCACCGTGGGCGGGACGCCCCTCGTTTCCTCCTATCTGCGCAGGAACAAGTCACCCCCCTTTGCTTACCCACTCGTGGTCTTGTCTACCAATCGACCTCCCAACCTCGAACGACAACCACCCTGTTGGGCGCGTCACTTCAAATGACCCCGCCTTCGGTGTATTTCTTTCCGCCTCCACACCACTTTCACAACTTTCATTTTTGGTCTTCTTCTTGCGACGACAAAAACAAAATCTCTCTCGCTATCCGTCGATATCAGTCCGGGACACGCCAGCTACGGCATACATGAGAGCATACGACCTACACTGCCTTGGTGCCGCTATTGTAGCACTTTTTAGAGGCAACAAAGTCTACCCACCGACCGTGGACGCCTGCCTGTCAGCCTACCGAGCACCGCCCCTGCGCCTGCTACCCCATGTCAAAATCATCTAGGGTCGATCTGCACCCCGCCCCTACGGCGCCTCCGCCTCGCCGACGAGCTGCTCCGCTTTCGCGGCCAGGGCTATGGCGGTCGACTCCTTTCCAACGGCGGCGCAGACCTCTCCGGCCTTCGACAGCACCGCCGCCAGCTGCCGACTCGAGAGCCTCGGCTTCTTCGCGTCCCCCCCGCCACCGCCGCCCGCTGGCCGTTGGAACTCCCTCGCAGCGGCGGCGGCGTCCTTCGTGACACCGATGGCGAGCGTCACCGACTCCTCGCCGCCCACGGCGGCGCAGGCGTCCAGCGCGGCCAGGAAGGTAGCGCCGTCGGGCGGCGGCAGCCTGCGCTCCCCGCCGCCGCCGCTTCGCGAAAACGCCTCTTCCATTGCCACCTCCCCGGTGGTGCCGTCCTCCCCGGACATGCTATCGCTCCACTCGACGCCGCCCGACACTACCGCGGCCGCAGCCCCGAGCACGGCAGCATCAACCCCGTCTCCGTTCCCACCCGCGCTACCACCGCCGCCGCCCGAGCGCGACTCCTCCACCATCTCCTGAAACACTTCCAGCCCGCGCCTGGGCTTCCCGCAGGCGGCCGCCGCAGTGATGAGCGCCGCGTAGAGGCGGCACCCGGCGACGCCCCTCAGGTCGGGAGACCTCATCGCCTTCGCCAGCAGCGGGGACACGCGGTCCCACTGCCCGAGGCGACCGGCGGCGGCGGCCTCGTGGGCCAGCGCTCCGGGGTTGAGCTCGCGAACGCCGCCACCGCCGCCTGTGATGTGCGTTGGTTCGTTCACACACACGGAAGGAAGCACGGGAGGGGTGAGTCAGTCGGCACGAACGCGCATTGGATTTGGACGTGGTCAAGTCGACCCAAGAGAGTTTCGACCAGCTCCTGCCTGTGCGTTGCACGAAACACAATTTCAACCACCGCCACCACCGCCACTACCAACACCCACGGCATCAGTCGAGTCTCACTCACCTCTGCCTTGCCCGCCTGGCACAAGGAAAGGCGTGGAAAAAAAAAAACAGACAGTGGCGCCCCTTTATTGATTTGCTTCGCTATTCTGTTCTTCATGTCCCTTAAGCGAGTGGTATGCAGCGCATTTGTCGGCACCTCTGTCGTATCGGCGGGTACCGCTCTTGTGTGTGTGTAAGGCTTGAGCGTAGTATACCGTTCCTGCCGAATCAACGAACATAACTCCTTCGCTGCTTCAAACATAGCCATGAAATACTCCAGCGTGGAACATATTGTGGTACGAATGCACTATTGTTGAACAAATAAACGCACTCTTTCGTCAGCAAAAAATCACCTTGGCTGGCCCCGTGGTCGTACCCCGACGAAGAGGAGGGCGAGGAGGACGCGTCCCTAAGGGCGGCACGGGCAGCGTCCGCCTGCGCCAGGACGGCCTCGAAGCAGCCGGCGGCCAGAGCGGCGCCAAGGATCATCTCGTAGGTCCCGAGGCCCGCGGCGGACGTCCTTGCTGCCGCGCCGGCTCCCTCTCGGGTCTTGCGAGGCGAAAGTTTCTGTTGCACGAGTAAAAAAAAGAGCACGAAAAAAGTTACATGCGGAATGTAGGGCGATTGAAGAGCCACAACATTTTTCAAAGCCAAACAGGCCGGCACAGAGCGTAGAATAGGAGTTTAAGCTTCTCCATGAGCAAAAAAAAAAAAAAAATGAGGAAAAGATAACAAGGAACTAAAGAGGCACAACATTCAAGTCAAACTGGCCGGCACAAGAGAGCAGAGAAGACCAGCGAGCATTGCTGTTGAGTACAACCGCCCTCCAGCTTCTTCCTCGTGGTTGGCCACCACCACCTCCTCCTCCTCCTCCTCCGACGACGACGACGACGACGACGACGACGACACTGCACCCCCTCATGCGCAGGCAACAATCAGCCAAGGCGCTTGAAAAACCGCCACGATAAGAAGGCGCTGCAGTACAAGTTGCAAAAAATGCGCGAAAAAAAATCAGAGACAAAACCCTGCCAACGCGTGTACGTCTGGTGAGCACCAAATCACCTCTAGCCTCCTGACGGCACTGGCCGCCTCCTCCCACATGCCCGCCAGCGCCAGCGACCTCGCCGCCACCTCGTACAGCTCGGCCGGCGGATGCTTTACCGCCGGCACCGCCGCCGCTCTTTCCCCACCGCGATCGTTGGCCGCCGCCGCTGCCGCCGCGGCAGAAGAACAAGCCTCCTCAGCGGTGGCAAGAACTCCTAGGACAGCCTGCCAGTCCTTCCCGGCACCGTAGGCCCTGGCCACGAGAACGAGGCCCTCCATAGAGCTGCAACCCGGCAATTATTGGGCAGAAAAAATCCAGCGCCAGCAGCAGCAGCGAAGGCAGCAGCAAAGGCAGCAGCAAAGGCAGCATCGAAAAGACGAAAAGGCCAGTGCATTTCGCATGATCAGCAGCAACAGCAGCCGACGAAAGACAAACGCCAAGGAATACCATAAACGGCGCCACAACGACGACAAGGAAGGCACTGGAAAGACGTGCCACAGGAGCAGGCGGGCCGGCGGGCGGCCCAACGAGCGACAAAACAGATTCAAAAACAAAAATTGAAAATCAAACACCAAAGTAGGCATTTTCTGCTCCATGTACTTTCGTAGGCACAGAAACGACGCATGCATAGCACGACCTTGATACCATAGCACGACCTTGATACCTTTCAATCCCCATCTTGAGAGCGTAGTGGTAGAGGCTGATCGTCTGCTCCCACTTCCTGGCGGCGTTGCATGCCGCCATAGCGAACGCGATCGCCCTTCCGTCGGGCTGGGAACGTGCACATGTATGACGCACGGGCAACACAGAGATAAGTTTGCTGTTCTATTTCTTTTTGTGCTGGAATCGGAGCAGCAGTACAATCAGCAACAGCACGATCGGCAGCGGCAGCGGCAGCGGCAGCGGCAGGAGCAAACAGAATCAGCAAGAACAGCAAGAACATCACTACCGGACAACAAACAGCAGCAGCAGCAGCAGCAGCAAGAACATCACTACAACCGACATGCACATCACAATATTGTCACCAAGTCAAGACGTTGGCCTGGGGCACCAGGAGCCACACCAACACCAACAACAACAACAACAACAACAACACAAACGACATGCACCTAACAACGTTTTGTCACCCGAGAGAAGACACACTTGGTCTGCGTGTATCGTCTGTACAGTACCGTATCCCGTCCCGTCCCTTCCCGTATCGTACCTTCACCCCTGAGGCGCTGAGAGCCCTCAGCTCCACCAATGCGTCCTCCCACCGCCCCAACGCCGCGTGGGCCTCAAGCAGGGCGGTCACAGAGGAAATCCTGGGGAAAACCTGCGCCACGGCGTTGTACGTACACGCCGGGAAATCGCATTGTTCAGTACCAACATATACTATTTGGAGTGAAAATCACGAACATCATGGCGAAGTGAATGGACTACACGTTGTACGCCCGGAATTTTCATTTTTTCAGAACGATTAATACGAAACATTGGTGTCAAGTGAAATGGACCAGACGGTGTACGACGGGAATTGCATTTTCGAGAACGAAAAATATGAGCGTTGGTATGGGTGGAGTGAAAACACGAAGGTTGGTGTGGGTGGAGTGGAAACCAGAAACCATCAAGTTCGGTGTGTGTTGAAAACACGAACAATGGTGCGGAGCGGAAAACCACGAGCGAGCAGCGGTGTCAAGTGAAAACACGTGCTTTGGCGTGTGTTGAAAACACGAGCAGTGGTATGGAGTGAAAACCACGGTCGTTGGTGTGAAGTGAAAACCACGGTCATTGGCGTAAAGTGAAAAAACACGAGCATGGTGTGAAGTGAATGAACCAAGAGTAGCGCCGGGTGGAGTGCTTCCTCTCCATGCGACAACCACGCCATTGTGTCACCAAATGGCCGCCACGGAAACCGTGCTCATCAATAACCGCTACAGAGTAGAGGACCTGTAATAGTGCCGGCTGCCGGCATATTGCCGGTGTTCTCGGCGGGCGGGCACACACTGAACAACCCAGTCATTCTGTACTTTGAATAATGCCGGTGTCCCGTATAGTGCCGGTCAATTTTCTGGGCACATTCCGGCACTAAACAGGGACCTCAACCGTACCAACAACAGCAGTGGCGACGGCCGGCACCACAATAACAATGCCGCAAACAGCAGCAGTGCTTGACACACACACGCCAAGTGTAGGCTCACCCTGCCAACGTCCCGCATGTCCCGGAAGAGGTCGAGGGCGCGGAGGGGCTGCTGTGCGGCCACGCACGTGTTCATCGCCATGGCAGTGCACACCTTTGTTGAAGGCAGCAGAGCGAAATAGATAAGGCAGAAAGAGACAAAAAAGGAAGCACGGTGAGGAGAAGAACAGGACAAGACCAGGCGTATATAATAAGGATGTACCACCGTTTGATGAACAAAACATAACAACAACGCGGAACACATGTGCAACAGCGGCGGCGAGGGAATCAAGAATATCACCACTGGGAATGATCGAGTCATGGTATGCATCCACATGCATGTGGTTTGATGGGAGACGCATACTACGACAGCAGACCGAGATCGAGATGACGGAGGAGTCACGAGGGGGCGGATGACGGCCAGCCACACCACACCCGAGAGAGAGAGAAACCGCCCACAGAGAGAGACGACACATGCGAAAAGGAACGGGTACTACCGACCGGAAACGTAGGGGGGGGGACGAGAGCATGAGAAGGAAATAGTCACAGACTTGGGAGCCGTCCACAGATCAAAAAGCACGAAATGAATAAAAATAATGGGATACAAAAATTGTTTTCACAGCTTGATCACTTTCATTGGCTGGCAACACGAAAACAAAAATATCTTGGCCTCCGAGCCCCCCCTATTGCCTGCACGACAGATGCATCGTGACCTACGGTGGGGGGCCCGGTTTAGCGACCCCTACTGCAGTGTCACGACGAAACGTGGCCGCTATTCAGGGATGGTCGCTAAGCTGAACTACCAACTATAAAATCTAAACTACCGGGGTGCGGCGGTGCGACGTGATTTTGCGATCACTAAAGAGGGGGTCGCTAAAACGGCCCCCTACTGCATGTCGAAGGACTCAGAGCAACCCACTACTGCCATCACCTCGTCAGGCCCAAGCCCACGGCGCTGCATGTCTCCCAGCAGCTTCACGGCAGCTTCCCACCGTTTCTCCCTGCGGAGCCCCCCCAACGCCGCCCGATAGCTCACCTGCGCCGGGGTTGTGCCCCGATGGCAGAGAGGAGGTAAACAAAATAGAGAGCGAGAGAGAGACAAGATAACGTCAGGATAACATCCTGCCAACCATACCAGAACCGGACGTTCTGCGTCCCCTAGTTTGGTATGGTTACGTTACTACATTACGTTACTACAAAAGGACGAAAAGACGGATGCCGGGCTCACCAACGTCGACCCCTCCCCCCCCCCCAAAAAAAAAAACAAAAACACTTTGATGTGACAGTTACACGAAAACGCCTCCGCCATAGGACAAGCCACGAGACGTGCACCAAAAAAAAAAAACAAGGAAGAGAGGACTTGCGGGCGTGCCCGCTGGGTTCTCACCACATCGAGCTCTAGCCCCCCCTCCTCGCTAGCCCTCCTGAGCAGCTCGAGAGCCTGGTCCAGCCGCCCGGCCTGGCCCGCGATGGTGACGCATGTGTTGTACGTCACGATGTCCGGGGCGACTCCGTCTTTCTGTTCTCCATACAGACGTGCAGCATGAATGACGGCAGTTGTGCATTGTACAAAGGGAGTCACATGAAACCTTGTGTGTAAAGGGTATGCGTGTAGTTTGTGTGCATCTCGTTGCAAACTCGCAATAAATAAAAAAACATCTTTCAACGCGCGTTTGTAAAAAGAGATCGCCTTCTTTCAAGATGTTTCCCACACAGACCAAGTACTACTTCGAAGTAGAACACGACAACAGCATGGATGCCATCGCGGATGTACAAATGTTAATATTGTCAAACGAGACTCGAGTGTGTGTGTGTGTGTATGATTCGCCTGCATACAGGCCAATCTATAGAAGACCACAGCAGCAGCGACGACGGGTGTTCAAATATTACCACACGAAACCTGGGTGTGTTTTATTTTGGTGTCTCTGCCTGTGTAGTTTGGGTGCACCTCTACCTTGTTCCAGTGGAATTACCGCTTCTCGGAAACTCGCAAAAAAAAAAATCAAACTACATCCTCTTTTTCAACGCGCGTTTGTGAAAAAAAAAAAATCCTTTCAACGAGCGCTTATTCGACTGACGAGCCAAATGGACAACCTCGAGACCCCAAGCGCGAAATGAAGACAGGCCAGGACACAGACAGGCCAGGAGACACACAGGCCGGCAGCCACGACCGAGAGGGGCAGCGCACACCTACGACAGGACTCGATAGTTCGCTGCATGCACACAGCGCGCGGCGGCTATGCTGCACCTAAGGCGGAGACAAAAAGAAAACAAAACCGCAGTACTATCTAAAAAGCCCGCGCAAAAACAAAACAAAAGAAAAAACGCACACGCACCTCCATCTCGTCCAGCAGGGATATTGCCTTCTTGTTGCGTTCCGCTTTTCGACACGCCTGTCACAGTTACACCATTGGCACCGGGACAAGGGGCGGCGGCGGTGGCGGCGGCGGCGGCGGCAGCGAGAGGGGGTCATCGCAAAAAAGCGGTGGTGGTCGATCGATCACGGATCTGGTGATAACAAAGGATGGAAACGGCAGAGGAGGGTCACCCATGCCCGTAGCTGAGATCGCGGTGGGGTCGGGAGCGGAACTAAAAAGAAAGGGAGTGAACCCTTACGCCCCACCCCGCCGCCTCCAAAAGAAAAACAGCAATCAAGTGTCTGCGGCCGACCACGCAAAACAACGTTCCTGGAAACCCACGCGGGCCCCAGGGATCCCAAATTTCGGTCATCCCGCTACATGGATTACTTTACAACGGACAAGCTCGTTGACACATGCAACAACCCACGCGGAAGAGAGACAAAAAGCAACACTGCCGCGGGCGCGGCGCAACCTCCAGCGATTCGCGTGTTAGCACGCTCTGCATTATCCTCATCTCACAGCCACGGGACCCCCGCAACGGCCATCCAACCCACCCCCAGCAGAACAACCACACCGCCGGCCGAAACCCTCTCGATTTCAAAATGAGCGAAACCAACAGCGCCGCAGTGGGGGGTGGTTCTGGGACAGCAGTGCCCTACAAGGAGCGGCATGGACGGCAGAAAGAGGATCGACCCTGCTCGAGCCATGCATTCGCGGCCGTGGGTGATTGACGCTGTGGAGAAGGGTCGGTTCCGTTACCGGATGTTCGGGGTACGCGATCCCGCCACCCCGGGAGATCATTCACCCTCTGTGCCTGGCACGTACCAGCGACCTCAGGGCGTCCATGATCGCCTTCCAGATGGAGGAGTAGGTTATTTCCTGGTGCGCCACACACGCTCGCTCCGAACCGCCAGTGCGCTTCCGCGCGGCTTTGAGAGCCACGCGGGAGGGAGACATGTGCGGAGGGAGCCGGGAGGGAAGATCGGAGGGAAGCGATTCTGAAGAGCCGAGAGGTTGTTGTTGTTGCTGCTGCTGCTGGGATAACAGCAGCAACGACAACGACGACCCCCCCTCTTCAGCATCGCTCCCCTCCGATCTTTCCTCCCGGCCGGCCCCCTTTGCACATGCTGTCCTAGCCGCGCGGAAGCGCACTGGCGGTTGCGTGTGTTGCAGCGCCCGTCAAACCAGCAGCGACTCAGCCCCACTCTCACCCACATGTAAGAACGGGGGCGACGAAACTAACGACCTCTGTGGTTGCCGGTACGCGCCAGGCACAGGTCCGAACGCTCTCCCGGGTGGCGAACCCCGACGTCCGGCAACCCGCCGGAACCGCCAATCCCCCGCAGCATCACTCACCACCACCTGGACCGAGCCGGGAAGCAGCAGACACACCCTCAATCAAGAGGCGATAGCTACGTTCGCAAGGGTTCCACCCGTCCTGTGTGGCGCGGAATCGCAAGAGCGTATGTACGTCGAACGTAGATTGGGCAGACCGGGGGGGGGGGGGGGGGGGGGG